GAAACCCTAGCTTTAACTGCACTATAAATACGATGTTGCCGATTTGACCCACTTTCATCACAACTTAATGGCGTCTGATTGCCACCCAACTGAGTAGGAACCTACAGCACTGCTCCGATATGTTTTATTCGCTCTGTCTCGGCGAAAGATGTTGTCCTTGGATATAATGATTATTTTGTTTGGATAGGTCGAAGAAACCATGTTTCGGTAATCGGCGCAGGGTTAATGCTATCTGGCTTCAGACGTTTTTGGTGCGTCCAGTCAAATCGACAAATCGACACCCGCGTTCCCCTTGTAGTCAAAAGTCGTGGTAAGTCTCACCACTAGACAAAAATCATAACAGCTGAACGGATAAACGATGCAATAACCTTGACACCTATGGCTGTGACACGCAACGGGTTATGAGCTTATAGCAAAACACTCCGGAATGCGGAATGATCTAAGTTTTTCATTGCTAACCTTGCCCCCGTCCCTCACAAACCAAAATACATACTGTCTCTGATGACTGCCACAGAAGACGGTCTTCCGGAGCCCTAAGGCGACCTCTAAAGGGGCGCCTTCACTTACTGATCAGACGAGGCGCGTGCGTCCAGTGCCTGCTCCCTGGATCTTCCCCGCATGCTTAGTATCCTGCTTGAACTAAAGACGTTTTACGAATCATACGAAAATTCGACAAACTTCTTCAAAATGAACTGGGGCTTTCATCAAAGTGTAGTTTGCTAATCTCGGTAATGCAAATTGGGAGGGCGGGGTTGTCGGGCTTTCGGTTTGCTACCCCTCCCAACAACTTACAAAAATTAACAACCCTGTCCCACGGCATCCGATAGGAGCCAAACGGAACAGAAAGGACATCGCCTAAATATGATGAGTTGAAGTGCTACGTTGCTAAGGAACTGAGGATGTCTTTGTTTTTACTGAGAGATGGGTTATTGAATAATTTCATGAAAACATGTTGCAGGGTTTTGACACCCAGAGGCCTTTAATTTCGTTTCGAAATGAAAACGTGTCCGGGTAAACTAGGAGGGTGTGTTAGAGCTGAGATTTCATGCCTTTCGATATTCAAATCGTCGCACATGGAACTTTTAGTTGCACGCACTGACATACTAATGAGGCAAGGCAACTGTAAGCCAGTCCAATGGAGAACCGGGTTGTGCCAATGTCTTTGTTTTACTTCTTGGAAGGTAGCGTTGAACTGGAAAGTATTCGAAACATTTGCTTCCATATTTGATTCATGGCTATGGCAACAAAGGCTTTTTCTTGACGATTAATTTTAGCGAATAACCTTTCGGCATTTGAGTCTTAATTATTCAGTTCATTGTTAAGCTGAATTTTACCGCCTTTTTTATTTCATTCCTGCAAATTCGAATTTATGAGACTAACAAGGGTGCTGTATGACTACTCACGTGCTATACACCCAGCGGATTTGTTCATGAAATCAAATCATCTTATTCTGCATTAAATTGTGAGAGCCAACAAATCAGCAACATTGTAAAACCTTGTCTTCTGAGGCTCTCAGATTTGTTTCAGGTTGGAACTATTGCACGGAATGAAAACTTACTTGAAAGGCCATAATCTCTCAGACCTAATTTTGAAGGTACACGTTCTCTCAGACTCCATACAATTGCACGCGTTATCTTGTTTCGGGATAAAGATAACAGCAAAGAAAATTTAATATTGAGGTAAAATACGGGCGCGGAGGATAATCTCTCTAAGCCTCAAAGCTGTAGCCAGGCAAATTAACAGCATACAGAGTGCTCTTGAGAAAGTTAAATGGAAAGATGGATTAGCAGTTTTTAATGTCCGTGAACAATGTATTGAATTCAATGCTTCCATAAAGAGGAATGTTCCACATTGGAAAGTATTGGAGCAGACATCAGATATGATGAAATAAGTTTACTTACAACTGCTGGAATACATTGAAATGGAAAATGCCACTCTAGACAACAGAACTTCTCTGTTTAGTAAATAACCTCCTCAATACGCGCCTGCGTCATCTTACCTTGCACATTATTAATTGAATGCTAATTCACTGCCGTAATATCTGGAAATCGTGCGCACGACTACCAGCACCAGACATAAACAGCTCGATGACCAAGTTTTTGTTGACTTTGATTGCCGAATGGCTAATGAAACGGCAGAATTTGAATGACGTTATTATGGCGCCATAGGTGCCTGGTGACCTTGAAATAGCATCCCGAAATAGTCCGCTCATCTTCTCGGGCGTGTAGCTCAGAAACCAGAATTGTTTATGTCTTAAGAAGGGCAGAGATGTGAACTGCACAAATGATTTACAAGATGGCTATTTCAGCTCAAAACCCCATGCAAATGTGGAACACTTTAAAATAATTGAAGTAAGGCATGTACTTGAAAAGTATGAACGCGACAAAGCTTAATTGGTTAATGGACGTAGCTGAAGCAGTTGTTGATGACAAAACAGAAGAAGGCTGGGCAAATTAAATGTTGACAAGAGACGCCAATGCTAACTTACACACATTCTTTTTACTCGACCTCGTGTGTGCAAGCGAATAAAAATATCGGTGTCCGATCTTGTTGGAAAAATCACTCCAGCCCTGAATTCCCAAATCCAAATCCCCACTTTGCAGATCGTCACCCAGGCAAACAACGATCTGAGCTGTTACTGAGACTGGCGGGCTGCCCCTTTCTCGGGCTTCCCGTGGAGTTTACAGCCATCGCCGCCCGGTGGCAGCACCGTCATCAGCCCGCTTCTGAGGTGGCGCCGGCGTCAGCTACGGCCCCTGGCTGATGGTCCAGGCTGACATCCTCGATTGACATCTGACATGATCGGTCAGTTAGCTCTCTTCAAGCGGCTCATCAGCTGTCAGCAACAATAGACTCGGCCTTTAGCGTGAGATGAATAGAAATCGTGATGTCTTGCCCAGATTTATTGGATATTTGCCATGAGCCCTCTGGTCGCTCAACTAATCGACAGAATACCGCCCGTATAGGAACGCATTGGCTACCAATGGCAATGCAATACTGCTCTCTCCCTCTCCCTCTCATCAATTTTTATTATTGTTCAGTCCGACTTACGCTGTCGACGCTTTGTGACAGCACTTGGCTGTTTATCTGCAGTCGCGACTGCGACTTTCTCTGCAATGACGTTACTGACGTCTCCGCGTGACGAATGACGTCAGCGCAAACTAACACTTTGTCGCTTTTGAGCTGCCGACGCTCTGTGAGAGCACTGAGCCGTTTCCTTGCGGTCGCGACTGCCGTCAACATGACCATGGACGTAAAGACTAGATAGGACAGGTGAAGGGAGTGGTTCGCTTGGTGGCACGTGAAGCCGGCCGCCATATTGGTAAAGACAAGAAGCATGGGCTCGATCTGACGGAGCCGTCGCAACGCATGGGCGAGGGGGGTCGCTGTGTAAGATCTTGGAAGAAAAAAATAGGGCTAGAACCGAGTCTGAAGGGCTTTACGACATTGAGACATTAAGACACAGGTCATACGTCAACGATTCTGAAACACCTACGTCTTGTCTTTCACTGCTCAATGAGTTACACGTATGGAGAAATTCCCGCTGCCGACTTCCACGATCGCTGCCTGCGCGCACGATCCGCCGTGCTCACACCGAGCCATGGTGGGGCCGCTGTCCTCCCGTCTGCCTGTATAGATAATGATCCAGAGCTCTGCGGGGGTCGGCTGCAGTCGTATCTGATGTGTGCGAATGACATCCGTTCGGAAATCCTGTAGAGCGCGGGCCCAGCCCTGATGACGGCCGCCGCGGCCCTGCCGCTGGCCCGGACGGCTCCGCCGCGCTCACGCCAAGCAGCGGCGGGGCGGCCGTTGTACCTGGCGTCCGTTGGACAAGTGTCGCAGAGTTCACGCGCGGTGGTGCCGGATTCCGCGGTGGGCGTCCAGGGGCGCAGTACTTTATGCTGCCGTGTGGTGGAATTCAGCACACCTGGTGCCGCGGTGATACCACCGGTGTCCACGGGTCGGCAGCCGCGTGTGTGGTGCCGACGTGCGAGTCGCTGTCGAATCTGCCTTCCGTCGTCGCCTCCCGTTGTTTTTGCCATTTCCACGGTCTTCGCAGACAGATGAAGAGCACAAGTACTTGCCACGCTCAGATAGATTGGGCGTACGAGCAGGCGCCCGACCGGGTCAGGGACAGGTCCACCAATATCCAATAATTGGAGTGACTACTGATGAGTTCTTAAGACTAGATAGCTCCTTACACAACAATAATTATCACGGCAATAACGGAATAATACATCCGACCAACCGGACCGCCACGAGGCGTTACAAACGTCTTCCAAAAATGTCTTGGTTTCGCGCTCTTTTTTCTGCGAACTGACAGTAAAACTGTATTAAGTTATGAACAATTATGCAGCTAACTGGTAGAAGGCATTGATCAAACTTAGCACACAAATTTATATAAGTCAGCAACGCACATCAAGACACAGACATTTCTTCCTACAAAACCCCAGATCACGTATGATAAAAGCCTAAACAGAGAGCAGGAAATAGGCCGTACGAACGCGACGATCGGTTGAGTGTGAGAGTTGTAGGAAATGGTGCCTGCTGGTTACGCCATCGAACACATGAAGATAGAATATTGGCGCCTACATCCTGCCCAATGTCCTCGAAACAACACTGCTGTAGTGTTTTTTTTTAGGATGCTGTTCCTTTGCAGGCATGCGTCGCGCCGCTTCACCTGGTGATGAAGACACATCCGTCGGTAGGTGACCACGAGAATCTGCCACGGTGGTTTTCCAAACCGCACTAAGTTTCCAGGGGGTGGCGGCCGGGATCTCACACGCCATTGGTCCCGATGCAGCACATCGCCGCACTCTTCAGCATCCGCTTGACACTGCGTGGTAAGCAAGCTGCACAATGCAGAGGCGGTGCTCCTCCTCAGTATTTAAGGACCACCTCTTGACTGCTCCCTCTGCGGGATTCATCAGCCCAACGCAGATTTGCACCCACAGACGGTGACATAAGGACGTGGGGTCGTCGGGCTCCCGCCGGCTCACCAGTGCCTCCTGGCAGGTGGTGCAGCCTTCTCTGTCCAATGCCCTTCGGACGACGAACACGGTGGCATAGCAAGCTGCCTTGGCGACCACGAAGCCTCCGCCGGTAGTCATGGTCGTCCAGTCTATCGAGCACCTCATTGGAGTCGGTGTCACACATGCCATCGACACCCCGCTGACTCGGACTGTGACCCGCAGCCAGGATGGATTGGGATCCAGTCTTGTGATGTGCCTGATGCGTCTCGTGCAAATGCCGGAATGTAGCGACGAACTGCCCGACGCTCGGGTCGTTTTTTTCATCCACCTGAGAAAACGTGGATGGATGGTAACGAACGCAGAAGAACGTCGAAATCAAGGTCAGAATTTGGGGGTAATTTCTGGGCTTTAAGACACCGGGGCACTTATTCTCAAAACGTCGGAGTGGACGATGTGGATGTCCTTTTCTCAAACAGGTGAAAACAGCCTGTCAAACAAGGAGCCCATCCTTACTTCACTCCAGTCAATGGTCTTTTAGTGGGTAGCTCATCAAGGTCACTGCTGATAGTAAATAGTGGAACAATAAACCCATTACTACGAGCGGACATTGAGTGGCCAGGGAACATCATCTGAAAAGATTTTGCACCAGCAAGCCAAGGCAATGTTTGCGACTCATTTACACACTGTTTTGCCACTGTATGCTGTTCACATCAATGCCTGTGACTGAATACAGGGGAAAATGCTACACGCAACACCAAAACACTTCACTAGATACCACTTAAAACTTCTACCAATGTTAAGTGTATCAATGTGCAGGGTGAAAGCTTAACACCTGGTTGACCAAATTATCTCCCAGGTGATTTGTGCATGATACCAGGCCTGATAAAACCGCATTCAAATTATTGAAAACAAATTTCAAACCTAAGAACAGCTATATTTTCTATATGAAATCCACAATCAAAACATTCACACGCGAATGATTAAAGCAAAGTGAATGTTTAAGCAATTGAAAAATCACTTGAAGCGTGAAAGCTTTAGTTGCAATTACCAATTTTCAGTTAAAGCAGAGATAAATACAGTGATAACTAAGCATTACCAAAATCGTAAATGAGGCAAAGAGTCAAATTTTACTCAAGGTTTCATTCCAACCATGCGTGATCCAAGACCGTTCACCGAGGTGTGGCATGCTTGTCTTGACGATGGATAAGAGAGTGAGCTATGTAACGTGCATAATGCTAGCTTACTAGGTGCTGAAAGGGCAGCAGTGTGCGTGAACAGCGCGACCTAAATACAGTCTCCATACCGTCCGAATCAGTTTCTGATTCCTGGGAACAACCGGTACTCAGAGGACCTAATTTCACTCTGCAATGGCAGTTCTCCCAAATTTCACTCTGCAATGGCAGTTCTCCTATGTCAGGCATGCTAAAACGCACAAAAATAACAACAAATATCTGCCTTACAAACACTAAATTGTTCCCATGTAGTTATGCACAGGGCGAGATCCAAATTGGGGGAGGGGGTACGGGGCCATGCCCCCCTCTCCTTTGGCCCTGGATGGCCCCATTAGCTCCGAGGGGCCCATAGCCCGTCAAAAAGATGCAGCTTTTTAACACAAAACGCAACAAAACTGAATATCTCTGGACTTCACCGCGACAAAAAACAGTTGTAAGCAAAAGTGAAGGGCTTATGAGAAGTCAAACAAGTTACTCAGTGATTGGAAAAGCTGTGAACTGGAAATTTAAAACCTCATTACACTGTCTAGGGGCCTCATGCTCTTTCCGGGGGACCTATATGCCCACTTGCACGATCATTTCGATCGTTAGGGAGCATTCCACGTTGCCCTTCATTTCTTTGCATTTGCTCGGAGGGCCCTGCGCTGTCGTTGTGTCCTTTTGCTTACGTGCCACTGGCCCTTCCACGGATTCTTTCCATTCGCCAGAAAGGCTCTGCAACCTAAAGCTGGGGTTCCATGCATTCCGGAAACCGGCCGGGGTGTTCTCGGTTGCTCAGGGGCCCTTTACGCGTGTCTCGGTTCACCTACCGACACATTTGCGACATGCCCATGAGTCCTCCACATTGGTCTAGGGCGCTTCCAACTCTCTGTCACTTCCTTAGGGCCCTACACTCTTGTCGGGGGCCCATATTGATGGCCTGCTTGGTCACACTCAGTCGTTCGGGGACCCTCCACACCGGGTCTTGGGTACTTCTTTTCAGAATGGGGGGAGGGTCCTACGCTCTTGAGGGGGGAGGCTCTGGGGTTGATAACCTGCTCGGGCACGTTCGATCGTTTGGGGGCCGTCTACATTGAGTATTGGTCACGTGCTATTTGAATGGGGCCCTACGCACTTGTTGGGGTCCCCTCTGTTCGCCTCCTCGGCCTCACTGGATTTCTCGGGGGGGGGGGGGGGGGGGGCCTGCTCGTTGGTTTTTGGTGTTTGAGCTTAGGGTCCTCTGCTCCTATCGGGGTCATTTAATAGCCAGTTTTGGTGCACTCCATCTTTTGGGGTCCCTCCGCACCGGGATTTGGGTACTTCTTACCTGGATGGAGGGTCTTACGCCCTTGTCGAGGCCCCTTCTGAAAAGATGCTCGGGCCCATTCGATGGTTGGGTACATCCATATCTGTTTTTGGGGTACTTGCTTTTTGAATGGAAGGCTCTCCGCTCTTTTCGGGGGTCCTATCTGTTAACCAGCTCCGGTGCACTCGATTATTCTGGGCCTTCTACATGTTGTCGTGGGAATTTCATATTTGGATGAAAGGCCCTACGCTTTTGCCCGGGTGTCATCTGTGAACCTGCTCGGGCACATTCAAGTATCCGGGGCCCTCCATATTGTGTCTTGGGTACTTCTTATCTAAATGGAGGGCCCTACGCACTTGTCGGGGACCCCATCTGTTCTCCGCTTCGGCTACACTGAATTGTTCGGGGGCCCTATATATTGGGTCTTGGTGTTTGAATTTAGGGCCCTACACTCCTGAAATGGACGGTACAACTCGGGTCGTGGGTTCAGGGTACACGCAACAAGCTATGCTCAGCAAGTACTAAGAACCCAGAGGAACCCATACAAACCATTCGGAATAAAGTTATAAAAAATACACAAATAAACTGATTAAAAATGCAAGATGAAGCCAGCCAAAAAACAGCTTTATAATGTTTTTTATCGCAAGTGCTGCTGTCAACAGATAGGTGACTTGAGATGATGTTCAACATACGGGCTACTCTAAGTTAGGTTAAGTTGGTTAAGTGCATAGCAAGTGGCAATAGAAATTGTGCAAGAATCAGTAACTCACAATTGCTGCTGTGATACAAACAGGCTAGACAGGATGAGATGAAGTAAGGCCTCTTCAGGTTATGCATAGTTAGGCTACTTTCATGGAAATAAGCATTGGTATTTTGTAAGAAACAGTGGCAAAATATTTGTTTTCCCTGACCCCATCTTAACAGAAGCCAGAGGTATGTCTATTATATTTGACTTGGTGATGGGCTGATGTGTAGGATTCCAAGGTTTTTTATTTGAGTGTTTCATGCTTCTTGAAGTTTCTGTTGTTATTTTGTTATTGAATTCCTCTGCCTTGTTTCGTGTTAAAAGTGCTGTGGAAGGGAAGTGCAAAGTGTAGCATAAAATTATTGGTGTTAATAATTTGTCGCGCTAATTACACTGTCATGAAGTTACTGTGCTTTAATGTATTCTGTTTCACTTCAATGGCCTAAGATGTTAAAAAACAGAACAGTTTTGTTTGACTTATGATATTACGTCCATGCCAACTTGAAATAGGTGTCTGTTTGCTGAAGCATTAGTCACGAGCTCAAAGTTCCATCTTTTGCGAATTGATTTCTTCACTCCCGCACGGTCTTTTTGCGATGGAATTTTTCACTCCCACCCTAGTTCAAAAACGATTCTAGCTCACTGAACAAATCAATGTGAGATCATTTTCATTTTTGCTACTGTTTCGTTAAAGGCATATTGCCGAAATATCAACCCAAATACACCTTCATTCTCTTGGTCTTTCTCCAAGAAATAATGCTAATGCTTCTGTCTTATCTATGAAAATCACGAACAATGAAACAAATATGAATCCAGTATTATATTGCCATAAGATTGGAACATGGTTGCATGTCTCAGGGCGTGGGACACATATTGGCGATACACAGACCATTTGTTCTCGATATCTTGTCCTCAACCTTAACGTGTATACTGCGGATTTGGAATTCGACATAGGTGTTTTCTTGTGTTGTATCAAGCGAGTCTGAACGGCCACAGATGATCCAATGACGACATCTGAAACGGAGCATTGATATCGTTGCAAACACCAAACGAATTAACACCACACATTGCAGCTGTTGTAATGTTGTCAGGTGTCTGCTTAATTAGATTTTATGTGAGGCTTTCCTAAAATGATTACCGGAAATGGCTACAAAACAAGTATCTTGTTAAAGCAAAGGTTATGCCTTTCGCAAGTTCTGTCAACGATATGCTGATCGATAAGTTCTAATTTTCAAAGTAGTTTGGTCTTTCGTAAGGTACATTGCAATATCAAGCATGATTAAATGCAAATTTCCATACGCTGTATCTATTCAGTTTCATGCCACTCAAACTACTGTTCACCCCAATTAAAATAGTTGTGAAAAACATGACCACAATCAGACTATTGGCAGGAACTTCTGACCCGGATGGGTCACCTGGAAAGAAGACGAATGAAACGGAAGGGCCTTCGCAATTCGTGCTCCATCACTCAACAGCACAAAAAGCAAACATGTGTCACCTAAGAACACCTCCCTGACAAAAGACACATCCAGGAAAATTACTTTTTGGAAAGGGATGAAAATTTGTGTTGAAACCATGCACACTGGCGAGTCAATGTCCTCGGTACCTACGCTGTTGCAACAATAAAAATACGCAAAATATAAATGCAAACTTCATTATAACTGTGCACATCTTTGTTGAATGTCATCTAAATATGTGCAGGAATCAGTTGACTCTTTAGCCATCTTTCCATTGCAGCTGGGCATTGTAGCATTTGCGTACTGGCGTGCAGATCGCTGGCATTTTGGAGCACATGGGTTCAAAGCGAGTGTGACGGAAGGCTGTCGTAGCTTGATCACTTACACGCGCATGCGGCTAAGCATTGTTGAAATATTTG